TAAAGGTCTAAATTTACAAGTCATGTCAGAAAACCAGCCCAGACCGAATATGACCTTCGCTGAAAAGAAATACCAGAGGCCAGGACCTTGTTTCTCAACTGAGAGATTAACGTGGGGACTGAGCGACCAATCAGACGAGATCATGTTCTCAGACCCACAGATTTACACATATATAAAACACCGATCTAATGTCGGCTGATGTTATTCTTGGTGAATCAATACATTTATTCTGATATCAAGGTTTTTTTAATCATCCATTTTTGGCTTTTAGGATTTAGCTTTTATCCCCAACGTCAGGCAGATGGTTGTATCATTCACACATCACTACTGTTGCCCCCACTTCCCCCTCCTGTAGAAAGTCCCATTGTTAGATACACTCCAGCATAAGACAAATAACCTCTAACTGACTTGCTACAAAAGCCCGTGGCCGAGGCAGCACTGGGAGCTGGTCAGCCTGAATAAAAGGAGCCCAGATTGATTGAGACGCCCTGACTCTGGGATAAAGGCAGCCCAGTGCTTCAAGGCACCACGTGCAGATATGCATGACAATAGCATAAACACGTATGTAAGGTGGGTGGGTCCAAATGACAGAGTACAGCACATGCCGGAGCCATCTGGATGACAGAGCCAAGAAGTGCTGCTGGGGACAGAGAGTGCACGACCTCAGAAGAGGAGCAGTTCTTAAGATTTGAAAGAACACTGGTGAGCAGGCTGGATGTTGTTTACGTAGCCAAGGGTTAAGAAATATGATTAGAGCGTGTTACATGACCGTAAACACATGTACATCATCATCATCATCATAATCATCATCAGGATCTAGACAGGGTCATTGTTCAGTGTGTTGTTTGGACATAAACGTCTGAAAGGAGTAAGTTATTCATACGTGATTTTGAGTTGCTGCCTTTGGGGTGTACATAGAATAACTGTACAAGAGGAAGTAAAAAACCATAAAACTTTTTTGAAAACAACAAAGATATTTCTCCACATTTCCTCTACTCCACTGAATGTGTTCTGTGTACTACTCTGGGTCCTGTCTGTCACACCAGGTCAAAACCTGACATCAACCAGCTGTTAACGACCGCTGCCTTGGTGTTTGCCTGTTCTAAGGCAGGGGATTCTAAGGTATTGGTTCACTAATCCTGTTCTCTTTCGTGATGTTTTAAATCCTCTCATTTAAGCAGAATGGGATTCACCAATTCACTTGTGTGAAAACGCTCCCTCTCTCTCTCTCTTTATATCTGATCATCATTAAAGTACTCACAATGTACTATTAAAGTAGAAATGGCCACTATGTACTCTATACTGCAGTCGTCTCTGTGGTACTCTGTTTAAACAGCTCTAGGTAGAACTTGAACTATTTTTTTCAATCAAACTAAATTCTTGAAGCTGCAGGATTCCCTGTGCTCTCAGGAGCCGTCAGCAGAAATCATCTTCATAGCGTTGCCTTCATGTCTGTGTTGGCTGCACTGTCAGCTGTGTCTCTGCAGTAGATTTGACGACATATGAATCTGTTGAAAAACCTTCCAGTGAGATGACAGACATCAGAGCTAGAAGGGTTGAGAATGTTGAAAAAATATTATCAACCTTCCTACATGAAGCTACATGTTCAGACACAATGTGTTTACCACGTCTTATTCTGTGTACAATAACACAAGCAAATACACAGAGTAGACATGTTGATAGAAACGCCCAGATTTTTATCCAAGATTCAGATGTTGTTGCTCCAATCTGCCGCCCACAGACTGTGAGGATTTCCCATAAAGATAAGGATCCTAATATCAAACAATGGTCAGAACATACACATCCCCCCAAACCTAATTTAGGGGTTAGGCATAAATCCACTACCCGTCACTGGCTGCTGAGTTGCGGCAGGACTCAGGTGTTGGTCAGCAGATTATCATCATGTCGAGGAATAAAGAAGCAGAAAATGTCAATAAAAATGCCCTAAAATTAAGTGTCTTAATGTCCACCAGACAGATGGGATGAAAAGCATTAATAATATTAATAGAAAAATTGAAAAATTAGAAGTATAATATATAATTATATTTAAATACACAACCGAACAAATATCGCAGGTTTCATACGAAACCATCGTCATATTGCACACAACAATTGATGCTTAAAAAGTCCGTGGTATTATGTTCAGAAACACACGTCTTTTGACTGTATGTCAAAACCGTATTGACAGGAAAGAACACTGAGGTGCATAATGAAATCTCTGAATATTCTGTATAACCCTAATCTTTAGACTAGAAACACAAAAGGCTCGCCTGATTAGTATTATTTCAGATGTTCCAAGGACACACACACAAACCCACAGGTGTGTGCGTAACGGGAAATTTCAAAATTGTGTTCCACGAGACCTGTTGTTGCCATGGAGTAACACTGCATCTTCTTACATTGCCATGGAAACACAAAAACGGTGACTGGCAGTGGGTTTTCAGTGAAGTGGGTCAAGAGCACCAGAGTCAAGTGTGTGTGTGTGTGAGTATGTGTGTACAGAATCACACACTGATTATGACTCACATGTCAACCGTGACCAACAGGTTGGGACTGAGTCCAGATCGCCATCGTCCTGCATGTCAGGGAAGCAGGAAGTGCGAGGGTTAAATTCCTGTCCGTATCTCATGTATGCCAACTGTAATCTAACAGTCTTTTTGATCTGCTCGCCTTCACAGACAACTGTGTTGTGAGACTACAAAAGCAGGATAGGAGTGGTGAAAAGTGTGAATGCATAGGTTTTTAAAATTCAACAGCAGCACTGACACCGAGGGGAAATTTGACATTGGAATATCCTCTTATCACAACAGTTCTAAACTGCATTTAGTTCCAGATTAAGATGACAGCGTCCCTAAAATATATGACATTTGATTCATTTAGAAAATATGTAATTTTCATGTTGCTTTATTTAAGGTCAGGCCAGGTTGGTAAGGACTCAGATCAAAGGGTTCCGGAAATGTCTGACTGTAAATTTTATATGAAGGGAATGTTAATGTAGTAACTTTTCCAAACCACGGAGAGAAAATGTTGTGCAGAGAGAGGTTTCTGCAGCACACAAGAATCTTTTGCTAGACAAGGCACGTCAATTAAAAAGTGTTAATCTATATAAATGTCAACAGGGCAATGACAATGTATATAAAGGTATAGTTAAATAATATAAACTAAAAAAGCTAAAAAAAAAAAGTGTCCAAAAAAATTAAAATCACCCAAAGTAACAGATGACTAGTTTTAAGATTAAAAATATTTATCAAAATAATATATATATTGAAAGGTTAAATGGTAAAATCTTTGACTAACACAAATGTAATGTAAAATTATTACATTTATTTAACTATATGATATGAGTTTAATAAAAGAAAAATGTTTTAGTAATTGAGACAAGAAAAACACCGGGATCGTTATGAATTATGAAACATTATTTTAACACTAAACTCAGGGTCGCCACCAAGTGGTGGGATTGGAGAACAGCTCTAACCTTCTAAACTCAGTTCAAAATAACTCCACATTAAACTTCTTAACATGTATAAAATGTACCGGTCAAAAATTGAAAGATTTATTTTACATGTATTTATTGTTTCGAAAAACTGCAGCTCTTTAAACTACATAAATGTCTTTAACTCTTCAGTCTGGGTTGAAATTCCAATCTTGTGGGTCGTTGCCACATTTGCAGATGTGTCAGGAAATACACAGCTGTGCTAAAAATAACACTTTAGTTTCCACTTCAGTTAACCATAACGTTGCCAACATGACTCACATGAAAGCAATGTGCTGACATCTAGTGGTCGGCAATGTGAACACTCCTAGGTTTGACATGTTGCACTGCCGCGACTCTCCAGATGCTCAGAGAAACACCGAGCACTGAATGACTCCTAGAAGATCGCCCACCTGCACCGCAGTTTCTTATGCGTGAGTGGGAGCTCGAGTTGTAATACTCAACATTACCACCAGGCGGCAGAGAATCCTAAAACCTAAACATCATGCGTTTTGAGCTTAAGAAAAAAACAAAACCTTTTAAAACGATTGACTTTCCTTTAAAAAATTTTAATACATGACATAGAAGCCAGCCCACACATTGGGCAGCTCTTAATAATCTATATATATATATATATATATATACTCTAATACCAATAACGCCAGGGGCCGTCAAAAATTAATTAACATAACTCTGAATCAAAAATGGGTTAATTTGTCTCAATTATATAAATAAAAGAAATATATATGTTAAAAATAAATACATTGTGAGTTAGTTGTTAAAGCCCAATTTTAAAGAATATACATACAATAACCAATGGGGGTTGTTATGCCCCTGACCACTTGTTGTACGCGTCACAACACAGTTGTGTAATCTCCAGACCGTCCACAGGCGGGGACATTTTGGAAAGCCGGCCTTGGCTTATAAAAGGTGAGGGAAGACGTGTTAATGTAACCAAAGAGTTCTATGTTTATTTAACAAATAACCTAACGGTAGCACAGAGTCCGTGGTATCAATGGCTCTAAGTCCAGCTGCTGTCTCCCGAGTGTCTGTCTGCCTGTGGGGTGTGTCTGCTGCTAAGGGAAAAGACAGGCGTCAAGTCAGCCGTCAACAGGGAGAGGAGCACCGGAAGTTATACAATGTATTTTAAAAAAATAAGAGCACCCCATTATTGTTGAACCGTTTAACGGAGTAACACGGTTTGTTTTTAAACCTTATGAGTTTTATAACTTAACACTCTCTAGATTTGAATGCATCTCAACGTATGCTCTCACGCTGGTCAGTCTTTTTTAAAACTATTCTTAGTCTGGTACCTCTTTATATTGCTAGCTGCAAGTGTAGAACCAAATTTGCTTTTAAATATTATGTTTTTACATGAAGAACAACGTAATATAGGTGATATAAAATATGTTTAGTTTGTTAGTTGTACTTTCTTTTGACAGTTTTGATTTTCCGTTAATAGGTGGAATGATTATCCAAATAATGCGCGTTTTATTGTGGCACTTTAACAGGAAGTGCCTCGCTGAACTTTATTACTCTTGACTGAGGGTGTACTGAAGGCTGTGGCTCTCGCTCCCTTCCTCAGCAGATACCTTTCAGGCGACAGCACGCACGACTCACGCGTGGAGTTAAAAAAAAATGCGGCTGAACGATCGGAAAAGGCACACGACTGTGTGGACGACTGTTATCCACCACTAGTTTTTCTGTCAAAGACGAGCCATGAAGAAACACCTGAGTCCAACTAAACAGCAGCATCAGCAGCCCCAGCCTCAGCAGCAGGCGCCGACTGATGCTCCAGCTCCAGGCTGTGAGGTGACCGTCCAGCAACTCAACGAGCTGCTGTCCAACGGCAGCGGCTTCTACAGTCTACCCACCCAGCACTTCAACGAGGTGTACCCCAGGATATACATCGGCAACGCGTGAGTCATGTTTCTC